CTAAACTGGATTAAAAGTGAGGAAGCAAACCACGGCAGGAGCTGCTTGACTCGCTGAATCAAACACCTCATTCAATGTCCGTTCACTTTCGCCATAATATTGACTAATTACTTCAGGCCCATTGACAGAGAATAGGTTTACACCAGCTTTATGAGCACATAATCGTGCCAAAGCAGTCTTTCCAGTCCCAGGTGGCCCATGAAGAAGTACTCCCTTTGTAGGTCGTAAGCCCATGCTGAAATATTGACAACTGAACATTAAAATATGATAAAGAAAGTAGACATTTTCTACATTGACTGATTTTACTATATTGGTGTAATAGGCAGCGCATTAGCTGAGCAAAACAAACAACATCTCCAGAAAGTAAAAGCTGATTTCCTGAATAAGAGATATACATTTGCCTTCATAAATTCCAATGATTTTCCTAGGGACGAAACTACTCCCAACCCAATAAAGGAAAAGGGGAAAGCTTCTAATTAAAATTCTGGCAGGAGTTGGGAAAACATATTAATGCTATTAACAATGTGCTGCAACAAAGGTAAATCTCACAGTAACTGATATCAAGCGTTAAAAAATTTAACCATTTTTAAAGGAAAAATTGCATATATATAGGCTCAGACTCCAAATGGCATTATAGCAGGAGAAAGGAGCAGTGGACCAAGGTGGTTGAAGGGAAATTAAGATCGATCAATCCTCTAAAATAGGCTAATCCATTATTTGGCACGATTGAAACAACCTAGAAAAGATTGTAAACCTACATAACCAACTTTTCATACCCAGAAAGCAAGCAGATCCCCATATTTCTAAAGATAATTTTGCCATAGTAACAAAAGTTATATGCTTTTAGAGAAAAACTGGCATTTACATTAGAAAGAGAGTGTACCTAGCCATTGTACCCTTCACAGCCGACGATATTATTATGTCCATTAGAACTGCAAATTCTTCAGAAAGACCACCCAATTTTGCGTAGTCAACTCCATCCTTATTGTTGATATTTCTATGTTCAAGGTCTGATGGTGATAAGCTTGTTATTGGAGTTCCCACTTCAGTGTCCTGGGGTAAATGTAGAACTACTTTTGTTTTGTGATCTACAGAGAAAGCAACACTACCATAGCCCTCCAAATTTTGGGGAGGAGAAGCACCCATAACCTGGAAACAACACAGCCTTGAAAGCAGTGGGACTATCACAAGATTTCCAGATAGTAAAATGCGAGAACACAACCACGAAGCTGTACAGGTTTGTATAAGTTTCTTTGAATGGTCATTCACCAAAACTTCTCTTATGTTGAATATTTCACTAGTTGAGCCACCTACATCAGAAGAGATCGACACTGACTCTTGATCCTTGGGTGTATTGAACTCCATAGTGCTAGGAGAATTAAGTCTAGAACGAGTGTGTAATGGAGTCCGAGGAGATGAACCTGCTATAGTCTCACTTCGACCATTTCTTGTTTCAGTTGTTGAATATTGAGAGGATATGAAGTTGTTCATCGGTGGTATTCCATTACGAGATACCAGCAACAAAGATAGTTCCTCACAGTTACTAACCAAAAAGGAACTAACTTTACCATTGGACGATTGATTGCTTCCATTTGCAATACTCCTTATGGTATGATCACGAATAAGGTGAACAAAAACAATCCTACCCGAAGCAGGGTAGCCCATACTCCATGAGAGGCTTGAAGATAATCGTGCTCCATTTTTTAAAATCTGCAAAGAGATGAATGTCAAGTCAATGCAAAAATTTACCGTTTGGTAAGAATACAACAACACCTCTCTTCAAAATTGATAATAAGCCAACATCAGCACCAGTAATAACAAATTTTATAACTTCTAAGAAAAATTTCAGATTATCAAAAAAAAAAATTAACATTTAAAGCAATTTGTAGCTTTATATGCTTATTTGTCAAATTAAGTCACAGGAATTGGACAGCAGAGGAAAAGCCGAAAAGGAAAAACAAAACAAATATTTGCATCCAAACCTTACAAGATGGGAAAACAGACGCAAGAGCAAAGAAGTTTCCTGCTTCATGAGACACATTTTCTGTATAATCAAGCCCAAAATGCCTTGTACACTCATCTACTAATGAGCTAAGAGGGAAGTTACTTTCATATTTCTTCAAAGAAGCAAGGGATACCTGTTAACATTAAAAAGTAAAATAAGATCAAAGTCTAACATCAATAAATGTTTAATTTCAAAGGAAGATTGAAAATTGAGGAAGCAATAGCATATGGGAAATTACATACTATAGCTTATGTTGCACATGTGTAAAGCCTGAGAAAACACATTGCTTCAGAAAACACCCCCTTCCCAAATCAAAAACCAGCTCAAAAGACTTCAAACACTTTCTTAAGTAATACATTGTATGAATTTTTTACGAGCTCCTTTTTCCCTTATTCAAAATCTATCTGGAAGAAAGACAAATATTATCTTCACAATAGGACAATTTCTTTAGCAGACGTGAAAGAGAAAATAAAAGCAGCTTTTTTTAATGGTTCTCGTGAATATATTCTTTAGTTGAAAGAGGCTCATCTTAAGTTCTAATTCGAGCTCAAGTCATAATTGAAGAAAAAATATAAACACAAATTAGTTACAAATTAAGCTTATTAACTAAATTAAAGCACAAGCAGAATTCATCTCACATTAAGGATGCAGTTAGCGAGACATACATGTAATTTTGTACATTAAATCCATACATCAACTGATCAGAGAGAAAAGAGAACAACTTGATGTAAATCAAAAGTAAAGGAGAAAAAAACAAACAGTATTCTCAATTTTCAAAAGAGACTAAAGAAACTTCAACTCATATATATATGTGTGTGTGTTTGTATTACATATAATATGCACAACCACCACACACACACGCACACATAACTATAATCTTTTCCATAAGAACCACATCAAACCCCTGAAATACCTACAATAAACAGCAAACACACACAGAGCTATAATTTTTTCCATTAGAACCACATCAAACCCCTGAAATACCTACAATAAACAGCAAACACACACACAGAGATATAATTTAATGTATGTTTAAGTCATAACAACCACAGCAACCTCTAATAAACAACTAGTAAACAGTGGCAGAGCCACTCCTTCATCGGGAAACTACACTATATAGCTATGTAAGAAAATTTTCTTTTATGTATATATACTACCTCTGTCCCAATTGAGTATCCTACTTACCTTTTTGGTCTATCCCAGAAAGATTGCATCTTTCCATATTTAGTAAGTGTTTCAATTCCAACATCCTTCATGACAAATTCAAGACCACACAATTTAAAGAACTACACACATTAAACTTTGTGTTCAGTCAAACTAAGACACTTAAATTGGGACAGAGGGAGTATTATATATTGACCCCCTTGACTTCTTCGTGGTTTTGCGCCTTTATATATTACACTTGCTAAAATCCTGGTCAATAACACATACATAGAAAGATAAAAAAAAAACGAATCTTTTTGAATTACAACTACAGAGATGAAAGAAAAAACCAAATTTACCGTTACAATGGAGCCAGGAGAAATAGAAGAAGCAAGCATGGAAGATTCCGAAAGCCAAATTTTACAGCCTTTGGTATCCACAGTCTCCACAGCATCTTCTGATATTCGACCAATAAAGTCTGTTTTAGAAATCAAAGACGGGAACTTTTTCGAAGCTTCTTCAAGACAACACCTAAGCTCCCCTTCAGTAAATTCCACATCTGATGAACTCAAAACTGATGAAGTATCACTAAGTTCTGACTGTGAAAGCCTTGATGTTGACTTCTGATTCTTCTTCTTTGAAGGCATTTTTATCAAATTGAAAGATTACTAACCAAAAGAATGAGATTTTTAATGAAACAAATTGTGAATTGAATGGAGTTTTTCTTGTGTATCTTCTTCTCCTGCTGCTGCTGCTATGGCTGTTAAAACCCTTTACAGAGGAGGTTTTAGCACCTGGGAGGAAAAATAAAATGCTAATTTCGTCCCCAACGTTTCAGGAATTGTGTTTTTATCCTCAATAAATGAATATATAATTATATTTTAAAATTTAGATTTAAATATTTTTAAAATTTTGTACTTAGTCAAACACATGACATAAAATGAAACGGAAATAATAGTAATAGCAAAATACTCAATATAGTCTCATAAGTGGGTGTATGAGGAGAATGGTGTATATGAACTTTATATCCTTATCATTTCTTATCTTGTGAAAATACACAAGTTTTTTTCCGATAGCAAATAATAAGATTGATAATTCATTTACTTCACAATCAATGCTTAATTTTTATAGACATGAGTGAGTTTATTAGATATATTAATAATAATTTGGATCAAGAGAAACCAATCGGGAGCATTATAGAGAAAAGAGTAACATATATTATAACGTAAGAGCTCTGCTAGAACTATGAATATCATGCGCTCTTTCTTATTTTGACTACTTTACTATTTTTTAAATTTTAGTTACGTCAATGGTCTATTGAAAACAACGTTTCTATCATCATAAGATATATACAACTTGCATACACACCACTCTCCATAATAAAAGTATTATACAAAGATCATAGGTTTGATTAGTTTAGAGGGTAAGTGATTGTCCCACATCGTTTGGAGAAAATGTGTTTCGATGGTTTAAAAATGCAACAGAAGAAGGATAGTAACACTGGGCTCAGTTACGTGGGCCTGTAACCCAAGTGGGAGTAATAAGATAGTGGGAGATTATTATATGAAAAAAGGTGGATGTCATATTGTATTTGGGGGTAGTAAGGTCTAATATGAGGACCAGTCCAAATACCACTCTGGTAGAGTTTAAAACCCTCTACCCGTTTGGGTATTCTCTCAACTGACTTAACAGAGCAGTTGCAGCAGGAGTTCACTATCTTTGGTGGCATTAAGGTGGATCTCATATTAGACATCTATGCTCCAAATACCTTCCACCCTTATAATAACAACCATTATCTTTTATTTTCTTTTTGTCCACGACATTGGAAAAGGAATAAGAATCAAGAATTTAAGTTCCATTTATCATTTTAGTCACACTACTTGGAGCTCAAGTAGTACTATTTATAGAAACCAAATAAAAGGGGGGGCAACAACAAAGGGGATTTCTTGATTGATGAAACAGAAAAAATTAAGTCATCTTCCCAGTCAGTAGTAATAAGGGGATTCTTGCATTTGAGGCAGCAGCTTCAGCTAGCATGATGATGCTGATGCAGCCAACAGGGATTTGGCTGGAGGTAATAATGCAACAGCACCTCTCTCAGAATTTGAGTACTTCTTGTAAATCACCTTAAGCTTGTGATTTGCAGCCTCAGAGTGATAGCTGACTAACTGCCTTGCGCACTCTATTACTTGAGACTCTGAGAAACCAGTGTGCAGCTTAAGTGTCCCATTCCAAAATGGTGTCCAATTGAGGGTGTGTCGAGCAGCATAGACAGCTGAGGCAGCAATCATTGATGGACAGTAGATAACGGTTGCATAATTCATCAACCCCAGCTCAGCCAGAAAATATACCATGTTCTCCATCTGGTTTTTAAGGGATTCAGTTAGTACAATAAACTCATTGGGACACAAATAAATATAGCCAAGAATGTAAAAAGGACTTACTTCTGAATCAGGCAGAGAAGCTTTGATGAAACGTACGAGGAACACGTAAGGTGTTGGGACTGTTAGGTACCATTCCAGTTTCCCAAGAATTTGTTTCTCCATAGCTAACACCTGATCATGACTGTAAGTTTTGTCTGCGATGCCCACAAAGTCGTTGACCTGAAAAATCAAATGAGAATATTCAGAAAATTGTTAGCTTAGCCATTAGCAGCTAATATGGTGAAAGAGACTTCAATATATCATTTGATAAGCTCTAGAAATATACCTCAGGAGCCCAAATTTCTTCATATTTGGAGGCTATGAGCATGGCACTAATGCCCACCAACTGCAATTCCCTTCTTGATGAAAACTCCACAGCAAGGTAGCGATCAACAATGTTGATTGTGAGGTAAAGAGTTTCTGGATTAAGTTCAAACTTGTGGTGGACTTCAATTAACCAATCAATCAGAATTGCTCTCATTTTTTCGCTTATCTCAGGCTGTGAATCAATGTAGTCATGAACTCTTGTCTCACTCTGCAAAGAAGCAAAAGTATTCGAGTTGATCACAATATTACTGGTAAACATGAAACAAAAATAGACAGCAACAATCAACATAAGCTCAAGTTCAAGACAATGGATACCTCGGCTAGTTTGTAGAAGTTGTAAATGTCTTCAACATATTCCAGAACTGCCAATTCATTGTTCACATCTGCAGCATCAATGTCCACAATCTGCTCCTTTGGTTTCTTACTCAGACCACATGCAGCCTGTATAAAAGTTGACAAAAACATCAGACATTCCTCTAGTTGTACAACTGACAATTATGTAAAACACAAAACAATCCTCTATATATATCTATAATGTTCTAAAATTAACAAAAGAGGCATATCGAACCTTGCTTCGAGCAGTGAGAGTTGAAGTAAGAGTTGATTTCTTCTTTGTTATATCTTCAGCAGCCTGCTTCTTCCTAAGCATCTTCTTCTCCATCAGTTTCTCTTGAGTGTCGGGACTAATTTCAATAATCTCCTCAGGTTTTGGCTTAACTGTGGCTTTCTTCTGAGCTGGTTTCCTTCCTACAGGTACTTTTTGAGCTCCATTAGCAACATTTGCTACTTTTACATTAACAGCCACAGATTTCTGCAAACATTTAAAAAAAACACAATTACACAAACCAAATTAGTACATAACATCACATTGAGATTGAAATACAATTAAAATGATTATGACTTTACTGTCATAACCTTCTGATTTTCAGGTGCTGCCAACAATTGTGCACAAAAACTCCTTGTTACGGGGCGAGATACCTGAGGAAGTGGCTTTCCTTCGACTCCACGGCCTGTAGCCAGATTCCCAATATCTCCAAGCGCCTTTCGGTTTCTCCCTTCTGCTACCATATTCTTTTTCTGCTTTACTACACCAGGGACAACTACCTCACCTAAACAATAACAAACACTTCTATTTAGTACACCAAACAAACATAAACACATCCAGGATTTTAAGTGTATGAGTTATGAAGCCCATATATATAGCTTTTAGCTTACTAAAGTCTAAATTCATTCGGGGTTGTACATTTATACTACTACATATTAAGTGAAATTCGTAACACAAAAAAAAGATCTAAGCTAAAGTTACAATCCATCCCTGCAAATCCAACACCATTAACATTCAATACTACTTAAAGAGTTCATTGTGTTAACATCATTTACTGAACCATCTATCATAAACATTTCAAGAGGTTCACTCAATAACAATGTACATTAACTAATTTATTATACATATTAAGTTAATCTTATAACACAAAGACAAGATCTAGCTAAGTTACGATCCGTCCTTGCAAAACAAAACACCATTAACATTAAATACTACTTAAGAGAGTTCGATTGTGTTACACCATTTACCATCTACCATGAACATTTCAATAGATTCACCCAATAACAAACCCTAAACAACACAAAAAGGTACAAATTTGTATCCTGAATATTATGAGAAACCTATTTATAGAAAATCAAGTAGGCCTCATTTCTCATCAGGTTACATTCCAACAAAGCTGAGAAGTTGAGTCACCCTTCTTTTTTTTTTCAGAAATACATCTTGTTTACATTGAATCTAAGCATCTTTAACACACCCAACTCAAAAAACAAAACAAAAAAACTTAGTAAGTAGAAATTGAAACACCCATTACAGAAATGTGAAATCTTTGAACCAAATTAGATTCATGGGTGTTACCATTTGGGATTTTTTTTTATCAAAAAACAAGAAAACTTATTGAATCGAAAACGGAAAAAAAAAAGAATCGAAAGATAACAAAGAAAGTCCCAAAGATTTCACCTTTAGTCTGGTGTTGAAGAACATTTCTTGAAGCCATTTTTCAGAGTCACTTTGAACCTTTTTCTCTCTGAATATTTTGGGAAAATGAAGAAGAAAGACACCCTATTTGAAGCTTCACAAATCGGCGCTTCACTCCCAACGGTCTCATTTTTTCGTTCAATCTAAGCCGTTGGATGAACTTTTAGATCGAACGGTCGTGATTGAGTATCAGACAGTTGGGCTTATTCCTGTAATAAAGCCCATTAAGGACTGTCCAAAACTTACCGTTGTGTTTAATTGTTTATTGTAAAATTAGGAAATTACTACCATTTTTTATATAAAAGTATTAATATTACTGATACTAATATAACAAATGTTAGAGTTTAATTGTTCAAGTCACTATTACTCAATTCAATTAGCCGGGGTAAACTATATGAATCGTTTCTTTATATATGAGTTCTTTTTATTTCAATACTAATAAATAAAAGGATAAGCTAAAATTATTTCTTTATATGTGAGTTCTGTTTGAATTTGATATTTGTGAACTTTATAGATGGATAATATGAATGATATTGGGGTAATTAGAAATTTGAAAGAAGTCATAGTCAAAATAACACTTCCAAAAAAAAAAAAATACAAATGCAAAATGATTAGAATTAAAGTTGATTTAACAAGATTTTCAATTAGTTGACTGATCCAAATGGTAGCAACTGTAGCTCCATCTCTTGTTGAAATTTTGACATAATATCTTTATCTTTCAGACATATCAACGCATCTATTCCACCATAATCCTTTTGAATCCATCAATCGAACATTATTCGTAGTTGTCCTTGGATTTGAACTAACCCATGACGGTTTTCCCCAACCAAAATCAACATATGATTTATAGCCACACAAGCTACTAACTTGCAACGCGATCTCCCCTCGGATTAGCCCTTCAGTTATCTCCATGAGGTCATAGGGAATGGCGAAAATCGCCTCATCTTGACTCTGTTTCTCCACATATTTGGAACTCAATTGTGACAACGATTTTCTTATACAATTGACCAATGTGGCCAAGTCAGATCCATCATCGTTCTCGCCTTTACACGCTGTGGCAACTGCAACAACATTTCCTACACAATGATCTGGCAATGGAGGAACAAATCGCCTTCGCATATTTACTAGGTTCGCCAATTTTGAAGCACCAGTACCAGCACCAGCAGTTATGACACATTTCCAAATCAGAGCTGAAACAGGTTCAACCCGCGTAGGCACGGGTACATCATCGCTCATTGCCTTAGCCCTGAGCGATGCTATAGTAGAAGCATCAAAGAAAAATAGTTTTGAAACACGTTGTTCGTTACAGTAGAAATTGGTAAATTGAAATTGAAACATTGGTCCGTTAGAGACATAAGGGATAGGTGGTGGTAAGAATTTGGCAGCTGCAACGAATTCAGGTAACTCGTTGCAGCTACCAATTGCCCAGGCGTTGGCGAGGCCATACAACGTGGCCCCGTCAGCAACTTTGTGAAAAGCACACATACAAATAACCATACCTCCACATTTGAAAAGTGTGACTTGGACAAGCAGGGGATACAAAGTTGAATTATGGAATACTGAAGAACCAACTTCAGCAACAGTATTTGGGAGGAAATCTTTGGTTACGTCGTGATTTCTGAGAACGTTCTCGAACTCATAATTATGAGCAAATGCCTCGTAAAAAGGCGCTCCCTCATCGTTGCATTCTATTGAGACGCCCTTGATTCGACCAGCAAAAGGGTAATAACGAGTAAGAGTTTCAGAAAGAGATTTCTTCAAAACGAGTAATCTGGATGAATTGATTGAGATTGCTTGCTCATAATTTGAATGAGGAGGAGGATAAAATAGAGCTAAGGGAGCATATAAGGGTATGGCCATTTGATCCAAAAAAGAGTATTCAAAACATTTAAGGTGATTAGGAGTAGGAGAAACAGGTTTAATCAACTCCATAGAAACTATCTCAATCTTTCTTTCCATGCCTAATTACTTGCTAATTATGCAACCATTAAGTATAATTGGCTTTTATATATACTGTGTGTACATAATTGGCTTTTACCTAATATTCGAATTCCAATTTTTAATTATAAAGTCAAATTGTAGGTATCACGTGGTATCAATTAATTAATGGTAGAATGAGTTGTATAATTAATGGTTTTTTATTCATTAAATGATTATGCTATCGTCTACCACCTACTATCAATTACTCCCTCCCTCCGTTCATCTTTTCTTGTCCACTATATTTTATCTGTCTCTATTTACTTGTCTTTTAACTTAGTACATCTATTAAGAAAATAATAATTGACATAATAAGTTTACCATTTTATCCCTATAAATTAATAAAATTTCAAAAGTCAATTTACTTATTAAAGAGGTTCTACATTTTTCAAAAATATTAACTTTCTAAATAAATTGAGGTATAATAGGTAAAAATATATTGTCTTTTTTTTTTATTTATTTGTCAAAAATGACAAGTAAAAAGGGACGGAGGAGTACTATTTTGAAATATCCAACAATATTTATCTAGTTTATAAAACTAATGAATAATGAACCATGTTATATCTATTTTAATTAGAGTGATTTGGTAAAATTACATTTATCCTTCTTAATCTATGTGTAAGTCAGAGAGAGTATCTCATATTCAATGAGAGATTATGTGGTATTGCTGAAATAAAATAGACTATGGTGTTCACTAAAAAAGATGTAAAAAGAAATTTCATTAAAATGCAAATGGACCAATCAATTAGTAAAATTTGTTACAACCTATAATAAGGCAAAACTAAAAAAAAAAAGAACATTGCCTAGAAAGGATGTAACTAATTAGTGAAAAAAAAATACAATTGACAAAAGACATGTTTGATTGCTAAATCACACACAAATATAATAAGAAATTGATCACTCACATTTAAAAGAAGGGGAAAAAAACTAATTATAATCACCAAAAATAAACGAAAAAAAAAACTAATTAAGATTGGTGAAAATAACTTGGAAATCAGTATATGTTTAAAGCAAAGCATCATCATCAGGTCCAGCAAGAATTACCTGCAATTTTAGAAATAAATGTCTTAGTATCTCTAACTTGAGGGCAGCAGTTGCGGATTCAAGATTTTAAGTTAGTGCCGACAAAATGACATCGCACTCATTCTATGTTGCTTGGACTCTTCAAAAATATTGATGAATGTGTCAGTTCATCCAAAAGTAGTGCATTTTACGAGGATTCGACATGTGTGCAACAACATTATTGGAGAGTCTAAGCAGCATAATATAAAGATTTGCAGTTGAAGAAACAAACAGAAGCTACTTACATTGCAGTCCATGGCATATTTCCGAGCTGCCATAAGGGCTCCGTTTCTTTCTTTTTCTGATTCGAATACTAACACAAAGGAATGTCCTTTCCTTGGTAGCCAAAACAATGACTTTGCCGCAGAATTTCCGCCTCCTCTAAATCCACATAGCTGAAATGAAAGTTTTTTTTTTTGGGATAAGATATGATTCACTTGGTATTTGGTGTGAAAAATTGAAAGAACCTATGAAGCTCATATAATAACTCAAACTGAATAGTAAACACTGGTAATCGGCTATTGGAGCGTGAACGAACTACTTAATTATCATTTCACCAAATACCTGCATAGACTTGGAGTATGAATCTCTAGCTTTTGTAATCCATCCTTTGCCCAACTTCAGCTTTGTTTTTCCGACATGAAAGCAGTGTGCAGAACGTGATGAATAGTTCCGTCCATTCATCTGTGCAATGACCACCTGCAAAAAAAAGGATAAAGTGATTACCATAAAGTAGTCAACTCACAGACAAGTCCCCGATTTAATTTAGTAGTCAGCACAAAAATGAAATGATGTGAATGCTTGATATTTGACTTCCGGAAAAGTGTGTTAGATGCAGAAATTGTATGAAAATACTTACACTGAATTCAATGTTTGACTTCCGGAAAAGTGTCTCGACATAACTCCCCAATCCAGATGCTGTAAGAATTGAATTAAAAGAACTTCTCATTTTTTGTAATTAACAAAAATACAAAAGACAAACCAGGAAAGATGCTATGACAGCTACATTTAGAAGTGAACGTTAAGAAGGAAACTCATAAATTGAAATAAATGTGATCCAGGACCAACCTGGATCGATAGGAGCTGTAATTGTCAGTGAAACTTTTTGGCCATTTGAGACTATATCTGCTTCTAGAAGTCTCCCAACGTCAATAGGCTCCGGAGCATAAACAAATTTGTCCGCGCCTGGTACAGTGAACCAGTAATCAGTTAATGACAATAATTGTGGTGAGTCAAAAAAGACAGACGTTAAGCTCTCACCAGTTAGTTAGATTTCAAAATTGGTGGAACCAAAGCAATAGCTAAAATTAAATATATATATATATATATTATATCTGGTACAATTATCAGATTCCTCATACAACTCCATCACAGTTTATTCAAACTTTAGAAGGTTCTTACGCCATTTTAGAGGTATTGTTCACTAGACATAATTTAGAGTCCTTGTAATATAGACTAACATTGTATTTGCTGAGATGTGAATAAAATTCCACATATTGATGAATGTATTTGCTTTCATTTAAAGATATAAAATTCTTAAGAGTTAATGATCAAAAGCACACCTAAACCATCACTTTTTTGCAAGTTTCACACTCCTAACTATAAGTTGTTCCTTTTCCTACCTGCACTATCACCATTATGTATTATGACACACCTCGAAGCTGACTAGGACAACTATCTGTTGTTCCTTTTTCCTACATAAACACTCAACTAGGTGTGTTTTAATGTGGTGAAGTTCAAGTAGGAAAAGGGAACAACTAATAATTGGGATGAGAAACACGCAAAAAAATGATAGTTCAGGCGTGTTTTTGACCATTATCATATCGTGACACAAGAACATGGAATCTTTAGCCATTTCAAATGAAAGACTTGAGAAGATATATGCAGAATGGAAAGCAGAGTTAATACCAACAATAGGCTCCCTTCTGCTGCATTCAGAGGATAAACGATACCACTGAATCGAACATTTTGAAACATCAATGGCTTCATCTGAACATGACTGGATTCTTATTATAGAGCCTAACATTTCAGAACCAGTCAACTCATAAAATTCGGACTTATTTTGACCGGCCCTTCTGCTCATTGTTAGCTGCAAACAATGAGGAATCATCAATATTCCAAACAGAAAAGGAGCAGAATTACTACAGGCTTAATAAATTCTAAAGATTCCACACTTGCATCCTCTAGTGGTAGTCAAAAAAACATTAGAATTTAAAAGCCTTAAGTCTAATTCTGAGAAAATGAACATATTCGCTTAATATCTAAGAATAATCTTATATTCTAAAGGTCAAACAGAGTGAAACAATAATATTGTGTATAGTATAATACTCCCTCCGTTTAGATTTGTTTGTCTTACTTTCCTTTTTAGTTTGTTTCACAAAGAATGTCTTTCTTTTTTGGAAACTCTTCAATTTCAACTTTCCACGTGACATGTTGTAAGACTACATGATTAAAGGACAATTTGGTACATTCTACATATCTTTAGTTTAAGACCACAAGATTCAAGTCTTCTTTAGTTTCTTAAACTCCGTGTCAGACAAACAAATTGAAACGTGGGGAGTAGTTCATTTACAACAACATACGCAATGTGGTCCCAAAAGTGGGGTTTGGGGAGGGTGGGGTGGGGTGTACATAGACCCTACCCCACCTTTGTGTGGTAGAGAGGCTATAATAGTTCATTTATGTGAATTTAGTAATGAGCCGCAACATGTAGTTGATTGAATATGCTGTTTAATATAGGAAGGACCCCCTGGACTCATGAGAGCTTCAATCATTATGGATGGCATGTTCTAGTAAGTGGGACTTTCAAGACTTATCTTTCGTTAATAACAGTAGGAACTGCCATAATTGGTTAGACAGAGAAGGGTAGTTAAATTGCATACAGTTGTTTGCATCTGTAATTGAGTCTGTCCCTTTTTTGAGAAGCATCAAATAGCCAATGATAGATCAATCATAAGTAGTTAGCTTCAGTTTGTGGACAAGTACAGCAAACTCCAATTAGCCGATGATAGAATTTGACGAAAAGGAAATTTCCAAGGTTAGAAGTTGGATACTCTCTCAACAACCCCGAAACATGTACCGTGATTGGAAATATTACCAGTTCCATCTAGTTAGAATTGAGGTGTAGTTGATTGATACTATAATATAGCTGAAAGTGTCAGGACTGAACATAACAAAGGAAACATACAGCAGTTAGTTTACGAGTGTGCTTTCTGGCTTATAGCTTGGTTTAGTGGGGAAAAAGAACATTGAGAAGTACTAGTTGTCGGTTATTCTGGAAGTGGCATGATAGAAACACATGAGGCTTTGTAAGACAAGAAAATCACAACTGATCAAGCCAGTGCTGTGCTAAAGAGAGGACCACTATAGATAGGTTTTTACAATTTTAAATTTTGAACATTTACGAAAAGATATACCATACTCTTCCAGGTTCACTGGATCATTAGATCCTAAACAAAAAGGATACCTCTTTCTGAAGCTTAAATGAAACAGTAGACTTCTCCCTGATCTGGATTCTTAAAGCCCTCAGTTCATGTTCCATGTCCATCACCTAAAAAGAACAGATATATTGAAAGGTCAAGTGGTGTCACGGATTGGCTATGAAAGTAAAGTGAAGCATATTTAAAGCATACCTTACTAGGCTGATGCAAGAGTTTTATTCTTCTAGCTTCTTGAACCTCTTCCAGCAGTCCCTCCACTTCCTGGCAAAGGTAAGTGTTAGTTCCATTTGGGAAATAAAACATTTATCCTTTCATGAAAATCAAATTGTTTTTGTATGTAATTACCATAATCAACTATTGTCAAGAAAAAGGAAACCATAATTTGAAAATCTAAAGCAGAAAAGTAACTTCGGATGCTTTTGTAGTTCTCTACACATTGAAATTTGTGCAAGGCAATTGTGGACCATCAACAAGATTGAG